GTAGTATATCCTTCTAGTGAGAGTGCGCAGAGGGTGTGACCCGGCATGTACTCCTAGACTACTCTTCGTGTATTGCTAGCGGCAATATGCCATGTGATGTTTTACTGGCGCTACATGCATGATAATGTGAAGTTCGTGTCCATGCATGTGCATCCTTATTATTAAATGATGATAAATTACTATTTGTATGACTTAGATGATTGAATAAACTATTGTTGTTGATTGATCTATGAGGTAATTGTATTGTTTGTGTTTGGCTATCCGGTGTGCGTTCCTACACCGTGAGCCAGAGTGAGATGTTTCTCACTCCCTTCTTTTGTGTTGTTTCTCTTGTTTGATATACAGGTGATCATCAGCGTGAGGCTGAGGATGTTGGTGATGAAGCTTAGGCTTCTATGTTGGGTTTTGCTCTGATAGGATATGTGACATCGGGACATAGATAGGATTAATTTAAAATGTTCTTATTAAATTATTTTGGAAAATTCAGTTTTATTTCTTTGTAATTTTACTGGCATGTTATTTGGATTAAGTTTATGAATGTGAACTCTTTACCCTTACATGGTTGGAAATTTGATTTTTATTAATGAAAAATTCTATTTTTTTATAATTACTGTATATGTATGTTGGGGTAGAGAGTGTCACAATACTTACCTTACAAGTTGATTTGTATGGTTGACTGTTAAACTTATAATCTACAATCTAAGAGTTTAAAAGGTTATGTATCACATATTGGAAATGTGGAAGCAAATTTCTTAATGTTTCATATGAATTCATTGTGGACATTTGAAAGTTGAAGAATTATTAATAAAATTTGTAGTAATTTCTTTGATTTTTTCATAAGAAATTTTCTTACAGAATTTCTTGCAAAAAAATTTGCAAAAACCTTTCTTGCGAATTTTTTTCACAAGAAAATTTCTTACGAATTTTAAAATTTGCAAAAACATATTATCCACAAAGGTATTACCAAAAATAAAATTTGGCAGAAAAATTTGTAAGAATAATGTTTGCTACGAATTCTTATACAAAATTCGCATGAAAAATCGTATGTAATAAGATAAATTCTAGTAGTGTCGATAGACATGAAATTTACCTTATTTAGGACCAAAAGTGAGCAAACCACGTTGACGATGCCAACGTTTTTTTTGTTGCAAATTTACCCAGTTTATGTCTACGTTTGAAGTTTTTGGCTTTAGTTTCATATTTGTTTCCTTTATTTCTTTTGAGTTAATTTTTTTTTAACTCCCTTTCATTTGGTGGTTTGCTTTGCTGGTGACACGTGTTTTTTTTTTTTCGTTTGTGATTCCTTCAATTGTTTATGTTATAGATACTTGGGTAGTGGCTTGGAAAGGTCAGTCAAAGAACACTTGTTTGAGCCAAAAGTGACTTGGTAAAAGAATACTTGTAACTTTGTTAAAAGTTAGTGAAACTCAATCTAGTTAGATTGAGAATTGGACGTAGTCTTGGTGGTTGAGGTGAACTAGTATAAAAACTTTCTATGTTCATTGGTTACTCTTACTAATCTTTCGTCTATTGTAGATATTACTCCACGTACTTGAAATCGTGCAAGTTTTTGATATACATTATTCAATCCTCCCTTCTAGTGTCTATTTTTCCTTCACAGTTTGGTATCAGAGCTTAGCCTTTGATGGGATTGAGCATCTAACTGTGCTAAAGGAAAAAGATTCAGATGGGAAGTAGTGAAGGACATTATCTACTAGAAGGAGCTTCTCTTACAAGGCCTCTAGCCTTCAATGGAGAAGACTAGCCATATTGGAAGGACTGAGTGGAATGTTCATTAAGTCCACCCAGTACCCCTTGTGGAGGATCATAAGACAAGGTGATGCTGTAGTCATTAAGCCTAAGGATCAATTTACTCAAGAAGATTACAACATACAACAAAACAACACCAAGGCGTGCTATCTCATTGCATGCTCGTTGTCCCAAATCAAGTACAACAAGTTCTGCAATTACTCTACTGCTAAGGAAATGTAGGATGTCATCAAGGTAACTCATGAAGGCTTCAAAGGCATGAGGCTCAAAAGAGTAGCTACTTTTCAGAGCCACTATGAGTTGTTCTACATGAAGGAGAACAAAACCATTGATGAGATATTTGGACGTTTCCAAACAATTCTCAATGGGTTTAAATCCCTAGGAATTGAGTTTTCAAAAGCTCAAAATAATTTGAAGATCTTGGATAATCTACTCAAGATTTGGAAGCCCAAAGGCACGACAATTATTAAAGCTCAAGATCTGAAAATCTTTATGCTTGATGAACTTCTTAAAGCTCTGGGAGTTCATGAAGTTCAGCTTAACAACAGGGATCATAACAAAGTAAACAATACCATTGCCTTGAAAAGTTGTGAACCCAACAAGAAGAAGGAATGAAAAAGAAAAACTCTCAAAGTTGAGTTTGAGATAGAAAGTTCAGACGAGAGCTTCAAGAACACCATAGATGTTAAGATCTCTCTCATGTCTAAAAAGTTCAAGGACATGTTGAAGAAGAAAGGAAGGTTGAGGACCTTCCACAAAAAGAAGGATAAATCTAAGAAGCTTGGGTCTTTAGAGAATAAGGACATCATCTACTATGAATGCAAAAATCTTGGACACGTGAAGGTAGACTATCCTCCCTTAAGAAAAGATGGTCTAGCAAGAAAAAGACCAAAAGAAGTCTAATGCCCACGTGGGAGGACCTAGACAGCAGTACTAGTGTTTTAGATGATGAGAAGGCAAACATTTGTCTAATGGCAAACACTGAGACAAATGTTGAGGTAAGCTCTCAATCTAGCTCTTGTTCGTCTGACTCTAACAAAGAGGAAATGTCTTATGACACCTTACTTACCAACTCTCATATGATTTCTCTTGAGTATAAGAAGCTTAAAGAAAAACAAAAACTTCTTGAAAAATAAAATCTTAAACTCAAGAAAAATCTAATGAAGTTTGAGGCAAAAATTAAGGGTCTCAAAGACAAGATCACTATTTATGTGCCTCTTGAGATCATAGCATCAGAGGCTGAGAACATTCAACTCAAGAAAGACCTAACCAAGTTTGTGGAAGGATATTCAAAGATGGATATGTTGCTAAGACATAAAAGACTTTCGTTATACAAAAGTGGTTTTGGTTTTGATTTTGGTCCCAAAGACATCTCCAAAGAAGCCTAAGTCTACCTCCTATGCCAGTGGAAAAGAAGTAAAACCTCTAGGCGGACAAAAGGGGAAAATTAAGGCAAGTAGGAATAATGTAAGAAGACCCAAGAAAATCTAGGTACTATGATCTCAAATTATTCCCATTGTAGATATCCTTGGTGGGAAGAAGGAAGGATTCAAGTTGGTACCTAGATAGTGGCTGCTCATAACACATGACAAGAGAAAGGTTTATGTTCCTAGACCTTCAACCACATGAAAGATCTATGTTCTTTGGAAGAGGCAAAGGAAAAATAAAGGGTATAGGTAAGATAGGTAATGCATCTATACCCATTGTACATAATGTTTTATATGTTGAAGGTTTTAAGTATAACCTATTTAGCATAAGTCAATTTTGTGATAGTGGTTATACTATACTCTTCGACAAAGACTTATGCATAGTCAACACAAGATGATAAGTCTATGCTCTTTACAACTTAGAGGAAGAACAATGTCTATGAAATTGATCTAACTAGTTTGAGCAAACAAAATGTTACATGTCTAGTGTCCAAAGAAGATGAAAGATGGATTTGGCATAAAAAAAACTCGGGCATGTCCATATGAAACATATTTATAAAATAAGCAAGAAATGTTTAGTAAGGGGACTGCTTGGGATATCTTGGAAAACCCATCTTTGTGATGTGTGTTAGAAAGGGAAACAAATTAAATCTTCTTTTAAATCTAAAAAGGTTATTTCCACTTCTAGACCACTAGAATTGTTGCACATGGATCTATTTGGTCCAACTAGGACATTGAGTCTAAGAGGCAAAAAGTATGGATTCGTCATTATAGATGACTATTCTAGATATACATGAGTATTCTTCTTAGGCCACAAACACAAGTCATTTAGGGTCTTTGAAATATTTTGCTAGCGTATTCAAAATGAAAAAGGTTTTTGTATATATGTTATCAGAAGTGACCACGATAAAAAAATTCAAAATTATGACTTCAAAACCTTTTGTGAAAACCAAGGTATCTTCCACAACTTCTCTTCACCAAGAACTCCTCAACAAAATGGGTTAGTTGAAAAGGAATAATAAAACCTTGCAAGAGATGGCTAGAACTCTCTTTTGCAAAAATAATTTACCAAAAAATTTCTATGCAGAGGCTGTGAACACTGTGTCTTACATTCAAAATAGAATATTAATAAGACTCATGCTAAACCAAACTCCTTATGAATTGTGGAAAGGAAGAAAATCCAACATATCATACTTTCATTAATTTGGATGTGAGTGTTTTATCTTGAGCACTAACGATCAACTTGGAAATTTTGACTCCAAAGTGGACAATGGGATCTTCCTTCGATACTCTGAAACTTCAAAGGCATATAGGGTGTTTAACGTTAGAACCTCTGTAGTGGAAGAGTCAATCCATGTAAAGTTCAATGATGAACAAAAGACTAATAGGAAACTATCAAATATGGAGGATGATTTTGCATATTGAAGATCATTAAATGACAAAGATAGACGTTGTGAGTCAGACGTTAGAACCTCTAGAAAGTAGGATGAATTAGCCAGATGAAGCTTTGAGACCTTAGAGGAATTGGAAATTTTCTCATCATCATCTAGAGGATCAAATCTTGGGTGATAAGGCTGAAGGAGTAAACATTCATTTTGCTTTTTAAGACCTCGCCTCTTGTGAATTAGTTTTTGAGATTGAAATGAAATGCATAAACGAAGCCTTGAAAGACAATGATTGGATCATTACCATGGAGGAAAAATTTCATCAATTTGAAAGGAACAATGTTTGGATCTTTGTGCCAAAGCTATACCATCAAAGTGCCATAGGAACTCGATAGGTCTTCAGAAGCAAACTGAACAATGCATGCTCTCATAATGTACAACTCCATCTTTTGTCGACACTCTTTTACACTCATATTCTTTTGATGGGGTTGTTAGAGCCTATCCATAAGCTCCCTACCATAGTAAGAGGGTATGTGCCTCCTTCTCATGACACTCTTAAGGTCATTTCAATATTTAATACTAGGTTCATTGTGGAGCCTTTTCTCTCTCCAAGGAAGTCCACCAATACATGGCGTACCCTTGGAAGCTAAGGGTTGCCAATGAATCCTTTCTCCCTTCACTCATTGGTAGTAAAAAGTTATTTCACTTTCATTTTCCAATCTAGATAAGTCTCTACATCATCCTTACCATGAAAATGAAAGAGATCCACCTTAAATGCCCTTCTATCTTCCCTCTTGTATCTATGATGTTTAGGCTCACCTTGATAGTAGTCACTTGTGTGTAACTTATCCTCATAATGAGTCAAGTTATTGCTCTTGGAGGAGCTACTACTACCATGCCTATTCTTATTCTTCTTTTCTAAGAACTTTTGTTGTTCTTTAAACTCTCTAAGCTCTAGTTCTACACGTGCTTCCATTTCTTCCTTTTTTTTCCTTTTTTTTTCTAATATTTCTTATTTTCTCTAAAGCTTAAGTGCCTTTAGTTAACCATAAGGTTTTTCAAGGTTTGGTAGTGAACTATAATCACTACTACTTTAGGAAGTGTGAGAAATGTTCTTAAGTACGATGTACTTGTTAATTTTTTTCCCTTAACTAAAAGAATTATGCAACTTAATATCTTTGAAAAAGTTTTTAAAATCTCTTAAATACTCTAATGTTTGAAAGCAAATAAAAGAGAGTAATAAGAAAAGTAAATATTTAAACTAATTGTGTTCCTAGATGAAAGTTTGGACGGACACTTGTAGGTCTTCTAATTATTAATTAAATGTGAATTTTTAAAATTTACTGTTAGATTAAAAACTCGTTATTCTTAAATCATATATACAAGATTTTATATTAATTTAAAATTATTTAATATCTCATTCTCATAAAATAAAATTAACATAATATATATTTCAAAATATATTAAAATATAAATACTTTAATTATCTTCAAATATTTATTTAATTTAACAAAATTATTATATATATATATATATATATATACATTACACTGTAAATCTAACTGCATATGTTTTAACCTAGTATAAACATTGAGTTAATCATCTATACACTGTTAGTGTAAAATTTTTTTACACTAGCAACCCCAATAATATCTTTTAAAATTACTTATTTTATTATTATTTCATTAAATAAGCAACTCACATGGTACTATTAAAAGATATAATTAATTGTTAATGTAAAAAAAATTTACATTGATAATATAGGTTATTAACTCAAACATTTGTTAAAAAAGTAAAAACAATAATGTCTTAGTAATACTGCAATAAGTTATTTCTTATACTCCCATCTCATTCCACGTCATCCAAGCGAGGGAACAAAGCCAAATAGGCAAAGAGATAGGGAGATAATAAAACAAATAGAGATAGATAGACGCTACACAGCATAAGAAAATGGTGCTGCTGTGTGGTTCAACTTCGGTGATTCCATTCCTTTCTCACAAGAATGTTGTTCTCACAACTGCTTCATCTAAATCCTCCTTTGTGGCCTTTCAATTGCCACTTCCTAAGCTTACGTTGTGTTCTTCTGTTCGAACCCTTTTACCCCAAACTTCTCGTGTCCGTTCTCAACGGGATTCTACTGCGGTGGTCGCTGAAGACCCGCGATTCGTGTGCGTCGAACCCGAACCGCGATTCAAAGGCCCGGTACAATCCCTCTTCTTCTGTAAATGGGTTTCCGTTATGAATATGTACAAATTTACTTAATTTCCGTTTGGATAAACTATTGGGTTAACATTTATAGGAAAGGAAAATAAGAAGATTAGTGAGTTATGTTGGTGATTAGAAGAAAAATTGAAATAATTTTTTCAATAATTTAGTTAGCTTGTGTATAAGTTTCTGTTTAGATAAACTTATCGGAAATCACTTATAGGAAAAAAACAGGGAAGGAAAATGAAATAAACTTTTCTATAAGTTAATTTGTAAAAACTCTCTTATATAATTTTTTAAAAAAAATTATAAATTAGCTTATGCATAAGTTAATTTTAACTTGTGAAAAAATTTATTTCATTTTTTTTCCTATTTTTTCTTTAAAAAATATCCTAAGGTAAAAGTAATATTACAGAGAAGCTAATAAGAGAAAATTGCACAAATTAGCTTATGTATGCGTAAGTTAATTTTAACTTACGAAGAAGCTTATTTTATTTATCCGTTTCACTCTTAGAAGTGTTTCTATAGATATTTTCCCAAACAGACCCTAATTGAGCTTTTTGTATTCTGATTTGGAATTTGAAGTATTCAGTTGTTGTAATTGAAGTTACCTCAATGTAGATTTACATTAGTACTTGTAGTTTTTTTTTTTTTAAAAAATAAAAATAAATAAAGGTTTAGTATGCTAAACATCACTATTGGAAAACCCCAAGCGTGTGGTTCAGCGGTAGGGGTTGATCCACGCTTAAGCAAGGTCAGGGGTTCGAATCCTGCCTTATGTATGCAGTCGCGTTAAATCTTGGGGTCAGCTATCCCACCTGCTATCGACGGTGGATACTCTAGGAACGAACAAAAAAAAAAAACATCACTATTGGACAAAGGCAGGATTAGACCAAAACCCAAAATTCATGTAGGAATCAACAAAAACTACATCAGTACTTGTAGTTCATGACTATGTTTTCTTTTCTAATTAGCTTGGGAATTTTTAGGAGATTTCATCTTTCTTTCTTCTTTCTTCTTTTGCATTTTTTTTTTTTGAAGTTTATTTTTTATTTTCAAATTTACTTCCGCGTTCACGTTAAATGGAGTTTGAAGGTCTATCAGAGTGTTTGTTATGAATTTATGAAATAATAATGAATTTAAGTGTCAAAAAGCAATTTGTGAATTGTGATTGACAAAAGGAAGCATGATTTTCATGGTTTGCTACTTAGGCTAAAATAACATTGTGCACTACAGCAGCCAATTTATACTTTAGATACTTGGCCCAAATATCAGTAGTTAGAATAGAGTCAATAATTTGACAATTGTATCAACTATTCGTCAATTAGTTAGAGCAAGAGCAATGGGCAATTTATGTTAAGAATAAGAGGGAAATAATAAAGGGGATGAGACTTGGAATAAATTTGGGGAGTGAGAGAACCTAGTCTCTCAAATACTTTTTGGAATGAGAGAGAGCAACTTTCGCTGGGGATTTCTGAAATTGATTGATATAGTTGGAGGGAGTTTCTTGCATTTTAGCCTTTCTTTTCAATGGTAGGTAACAATCAAAAATGGATTATATGCTCCATAGATATCATATTTCATTAAATTTTGCCATAATTCTTAACTTTATTTATGTAATAATGTTCTATTTGACAGAGAATCTTCAATTAAATTTTACATTTTTTTTATGCATTGATTCTCAATTTAATCTGTAATCATTGTATTGTTTCACATTGTATTTGGAAGAGTCTTAATTAAGCAGCACTGAATCTAGTTATGTTTGAATACCTGTCATGTTTTTTGGATCATATTTGGCTGCTGCAAGAAACATTATTCTTTTACTTAATAAGTTCGTTAGTTGATTTGTAAGAAAAAGACATACTTGAAGATGACAAAATGCTTATTAGGGTCATTGTTGTTGTTGTATTTGTATATCACTGTAGAGGGAGTTGTTAAAGTCGTTGAGGCACCTTAAATTTGTAAGATTCATTAAGGGGAAAAAAGGGTTTGGAGAGGATAAAATAACCTCATCATCGTACTATTTGACCATGATAGTAGTGCCCCATGGAAGGGAGACATGTGGAGTAGTTGCGATTGAGAGGTGAAAAATGTGAATTGAGCATTAGGTTGTCAATAGTGGAAGATGGCGAGGAAAGGAGTATTAGTTATAGGGTCCGCACCCTAAAGGGTGGGAAATTATGAGTAAAAGGCTCGAGAAAGAAATGAAAATTCCAGAGCAGGTGTCACGATTAGGATTGCCATATTAGTCACTAGTCACTACAACAATGTTCTTTGGGTCGCTTTGCTAAGAGGGTCGCAAGTTGGTGTTCTTGCCTTTAGAAAGCTGGATTTGATATCTTTAATGATGAAGCCAAATATTTTTTGATAATTGTTTTTTTTTAAATGGTTAAAATAAAATATCTGGACAAAAAGTGACGGAGACAGAATACTAGATACATTATGACCACTACTTGAATTTGATTTATTGGTGATCAGAAGAAAAATAAAGTTATTATTAAAATTGAAATATCCAAAAGAGAAAATAGAACATGATCTGATAAATTAGAACATGTCATTGCAGGGATTGAGTACGGTGGCGGTAACATCAAGGTTATGTTGTAGTGCTCGGAATCCTTCTACTGGACGTACAATATCGGTACGCTGTAAAGCTGTTGGAGAAAATCGACAAGTTTCCTTGGACGAAACCATTGTTTACGAGGGTATTTATGGCCCCTGGACCGTTGACGACACCGATGTTCGAGAGGTGTTCTTCTTGTCCCCATTCAATTTGGATGCATCCATGCTTATAATTTCATTTTCCTTCAGTTCAATATCCGAGGTTCTTTCTTACAGTGGATTCACCAATTAGCTAGCACTAGCAGTTATAGTTAACATTATTATTATGCTATGGCAGGTAATTTTGTACAGATCAGGTTTGGTAACAGCTGCTGCATCATTTGTGGTCGCTGCTTCTGTTGCGTTTTTGCCTGATAACTTCTCATTAAGTGCTGCACTGAAGCAAAACGTGGATTTGTTTTATGTCCTTGGGTCTGGTGGGTTGGGTTTATCGTTATTCTTGATTCATATCTACGTGACTGAGATCAAGCGTGCCTTACAAGCACTATGGGGGCTTGGTGTTCTTGGATCAGCTACAACCTACTTCGTCCTTGCTCAACCAGCTAATAAAAATCTAATAGAATATGTCATTGACAATCCATCATCTGTTTGGCTTGTTGGTCCTCTTTTTGCTGCCTTGACAGGACTTGTCTTCAAGGAAGGTAAAATGCTGCACCTAGCTTTTCTTTTCTCATTTCGAGTTTGTTTGGAAAAATTGTAAAAATAATTTCAATAATCGATTATGTGAATAATCAATCATTTTAATAATCAACTATAATCAAAATTGTTTGGATAAATTTTCTGATAAGGAATTTTAAGATGTTTAGTTTCATTTGGATACAATAAATAAATCAGTTTTTACGTGATAAATTTGTTTAGAGGAGAAAAAACTGTGAGAAATAATTATGAGTTTCAAATTTCAGCTTCATAAAAACAGCTTATTTGATTTTTAGAAAAAAAATTGCTTGCAAATTTAAGTTGGTGTCCCAAACATATATCTTATTTTACCAACAACTTTTTTTCTAAAGAAACAGCTGAAACATGGGATTTAACCTTTCCACATGCTATAAATATCAATTTGAAAATCTTGACTCTTGAAAATTATCTTGTATTCTTTAAACAGGACTCTGCTATGGCAAGCTAGAAGCTGGACTCCTCACGTTTGTTATCCCCATAGTGCTTCTTGGGCATTTGGTATTCTTCTTTTATTCCTATAATAATATAATGTGATAATTTAAACAGGTTGCCCATTTAATTTAAGATAGCTATAACCATGGTTCCTTTGAATTTGACTTCTCGATCATGTCTTCATCAGCAAAACTGACAACTGAGATTTAAATTAATCTAATTTATTTCCTATTCTTTAAAACTTCTTAGTTATGTATAAAACAAATCATGCTTTAAATCGCTTCATCATATATTCATGCAATGCTATTAATAGTGTCCTCTCGACTCTTACATTATTATACTGCATGTTTTTGCTTGCAAGTTGCAAGCTGCACTTGGTGAGGATTGTTAATTATCATCATCAATGCCATTGTTCCATTTGTATAAGATTTGTTTCTTTCACTCATGGACTACAAATTTTGCAGACTGGTTTGATGGACGATGGAGTTAAGCTTACTTTACTTGCTTCATGGATGACTCTCTTTGTGATATTTGCTGGAAGGAAATTCACCCAGCCCATCAAGGTAATTTTAGTTTTACTTTTGAGGATTTGTGTTCAATGTTCATAGAAGTTTATATCTTCAATCCACAAGCAAAATTCCCTGATCTTGGATTCGTGTAGGATGACATCGGTGACAAGTCCGTTTTCGTGTTCAATTCTCTCCGTGAAGACGAAAGGAAAGCCTTGCTTGAGAAATTAGAACAACAAAAAACTCAGAATTAAGTGCATTGGTTCCAATTCATCTTAAGATGGGCTACGTTATCTGGATCCAGGGAAACTTTTAAAAGACGGTGGTACGCTAAGCTCTCTGAGCATTGCCTTCAGTTATCTCCTAGAAAAGACTCTGGCACACTAGGAAATAGTTTCAACCCTTCTCATAGAAAGTCGATATCAACATCTACAAAATCACTTTCCCAGCATGTCTTCCTCTATCTCTGCAAAAGTTGCATAGTATGTTGGCTAATACACATATTTAGGGACATTGTGCTCTACAAATGATAATGTAAATATTTATTATAAAGATTGTGAGAAGAATCTACAGATTCAAGGTCTCTTTCCACTCCTTTCATCTGAGCTTCAAACTCCTACTTCCACCGCCTAATACTGCCAAAGGTCTCCTTGTTGAAAGTAAGAGTAATTTTTTACTTACCACACTATTTATTACTTCGTTTGCCATACAATAATCGAAGATTAATGACAATGACAATAATAAATGTATCACTTTTTTTTTTAAATACAATTTTACCAAGATAACTTGTTTTTTCAATAAATATAGATGGTTTGGCTAGTTAGGTGGGGTGAGATAGGTCACGAGGAATAGAATGCTTAACTTTATTTATCAATTTATGACAAGTTAGCAGAGACGTGATTCGTTTTGTCATTCCTATTCACAATTTAAGAATCCACAAAAAGTTAAACCATTTTTTTCTCACTTTTAGGCAATTCCATGCTTTAATTTTCATTGACTTTTATAATATTTATCAATTGAATTTCCTTTTTGTTAAACAACATACATTCCTAACTTCCCATGAGGCTCACAATACTACAAATCAAATCACCCTCCAACTTTCTACATCCAACCCTTTTCCTCCCATCAAACTCATAAATTGTTGAAAATGACATTTTTCTTCATTTGACAAAATCCCCTTTTTCCAAATATTTTCTTTTGAAAGTATTCTATTTGTAACACTTTCTAGGCAAACAAAGTTACTCTCAGGAGTACTAACTTTTTTCAAACTCATACAACAAAAGCCTTAATCATCTTGGTCCTCCCTATCTCTCATCCTGTTAGCACCTTATATGTGGATCTAACAATGTAAACACCCTATTTATTTGTTTGCCACCTTCAGCTATCCCGTTCAACCTTATTCCAAACCCAAGTACACACCATTTGCTCAATATCTTACACTAGTTGCTCCTCCCGTTAAAAAATCTTCTTCCTCCAACCCCAAACCCATACCTATGAACCATCCACCCATTTTCCAATAACAACGACACAAGCCTTAAAAAGATAGAAAATAAATTGGTATGGTTGTCAATAGTGACCTCAAGAGAACTAACCTCCCCTAAAAGATAAATGCTTGTTTCTCCAAGAGTTATGTTTTCTTGAAATGTTATCCACCATTGGTACTCATGTTGACAACCTTATTCATTTGCACCAATTGGAAAACCCAAATACCTCATTGGAAACTCTTCTATCCTATAATTTAGAGTAAATGCTACCTCTTGTGACCACATTCCTGC